GTGTGTGTGTGTGTGTTTGTGTGCGCGCGTGCATGTGTGTAATATCAAATATGCCCTCGTTTTTGTATTGATGAAGCGAAACGTGTCCACCATCAGATGCCCCTATCATCTTTTCTATTTCTATCGCTCTGATGTAAACGTTTCTCCTTTTGTTAATGGCATTTACAGACTGACAAGTAATCATTTGCGAAGCGATCTCTAATAACCAATTGCCATTTCTTTTTTTCTGATTCTGGGGACGAGAATGTGTCCTATCCCGTGTGACCGTCAGTGTGAGTATGGACTAACCCTGGCGCCAGGTGATGAACTCTAACCCCTTCACTGGTTTTTAATACTGACATCAGCTTTGGCCACTGATGTATCCAATATCAGTGCAAGCCCATTTTTGTTTCACGTCTACGTAAATACATTAGAGAACACATTCTACGTGCAACACGCTCGGGTAAACAATTGTTGGAGATTGTGTGGTATTAATGTACCGTACTTCTATCTGTGACTGGTTATATCGCAATAGCTGGAGTGCAGCGTATACAGAATAACGCTTCAGAGCTTGGATATGTTTACCGTGAGGGATATTCGTTTGTGACTTCATATTTTAGTAAGGGGGGGGGGGGGCATGCATCTAAGCGTATACAATCTTTTCTTAAGTCTTATTATAACAGTCTTCTTTAAACTTCATAAATTAGCCTTTTTGTTCTCTGCAGAGCGTACCAACTGCCAAGCTTTTATGCCCTCCTCAGGCACACATTAACACACGAACACACATAAAAACAAAAACACATACATATACAAACGATACACGCACAAATACTCACATACACACATACAGATACACAAGTATATTAGACAACTCACATTGACACACTCACAGACAGAGGCCCTCACATAGTATATTATGCAGGCACCCGCAAGCTCATGATGTTACAGTCAAACTCATTTGCATAAATACGCATATGCACAGAAATATACACTCAAACAAACGCACGTTTACTTTTATCAAACCACATTGAGTACACATAGCTAACGTTTGGGGTTTTCATTTTTTAAATCTCATATTATGTTATTACAGTTTCATTCTAAGTCAGATGTTTTTTAATGGTGAAACATTGCTGCGTGTTTTCGTAAGTAGATAATTTACTATGCACTTTCAGCAACATTCAAGAGAAAAGAGACTGCTCGTTACATTCCAAGTAAGGGAGTGTCTGTTTTATATCTGCATTCTGTAATTCGATTGGAAAAATGTCACTTGCAGGAATCAATTCTGTCTTGACATTGTATGGCTGATATCTTCTATGGACCATTTACTCTTTAAAAAACACGGCACGTCGATGTACTCCCGTTACCACGATTCAGCAGCATATTATTATGGCCATGGTGTTAAGAAAGGCAGTAATATAATAATATCTTTGTATTGCACAATATGAGTTACACACCTTGGGTCGAAGATAATGATAAAACGTAAGCAAACTTAAACATCTTGTCCCAACACTCTATTTTGAAGACAAAAATGATGTGCTGATCATTAGATTAATAATATGCTGCATTGTCCTCTTTTTCTACATTGATGGGATGCCTGAAAATTAATA